TCTGTGGCCCCGCATTATCTGCACTTCGTGGCCCCCGCTCGTTCGCGCTCTTCGTGGCCCCATACGCATTCCCTTCGTGTCCCCGCTGTCGCCCTTCGTGGCCTACTTCGTGTCCTTCGTGGCCCTGCTGTCGTTCTCTCTCGCTCTCGCTTTCGCTCGTCGTCGCCGTCGTCGTCGTCGTCTTCGACGTCGTCGTCGTCGTCGTCGTCGTCGTCGTGGTCGGTCCCCTGTCCGTCCCTCTTGGGGTCGGGTCGACGGTCCGCGACCGCCCCGCCGATCAGCGCTGCCGCTGGCCAGGCCGACGGTCCGCGGCCGCCCCGCCGCTTGCCGGGGCCCGGCCTGCAGGGAAGAAACGTATAACCCCCAAAAGGGGTTCGATCAAAGACGAAGAGGGCGGGTATCGAGGGTTTGGGAAATACGCGTTACTGGACTCTCGAGCATATAAGGGCGAACAATCTTAAACTGATTGTTGTTGTTGTTGTTGTTGCTGCTGCTGCTGTTGTTGTTGTTGAACACTATTACTTCTAAAGAATAATTATTGTTGGGGCCCCTGGTGCACGACCCCCCGGCCGCGCCTAGGCCGCAGCCTCATTTTCATCATTTTCGTGAGGAAGTCTCAGGCAAAACGGGGGAGTCCGGATCCGGTTGTGTTGTTACGATCGGTTTTCCCTTGCAAAAAATAGCTAAAGTGGACATTTCTTGTTCTAACATAACCAAACTTCAAGAATCCCTTGCAAAAAATAAGGTAAAGTGGACATTCGCGCGCGCAAGACGAAATCCTTCCAAAACCTTAGTTTTCGTAGCGATTTTAACATAAAAACATCAAAAAACCAATGGTTTTTCAAAAAAAAATGTCAAAATTTCATCCCGCGCGCTCTTGCGGATTCGTAGGAAACCCAACACTTTTTAAACATTTCTGTCAAACGGGCTTTTGCGAGCAACTTTTTCGAACTTCTGCAACAACGGTTGCGCACCTGCCAGGGCCATCATCCCTGTCAAATAATACCATGCGGGACACATTCGTTTTTTCTTCGCGCGCGCACGCCGTCGTCGTCGGCCGCGGGGCCCTGAATAGTAGCCACGGTCGTCCGCATGCCACGAAGTGAAGTGTCCGAACGTCATAGGGCGGGAAGCTGGGTGTGGGTGGTGGCGAAGAGTCGTTTGGAAATTTGGTAGAGCTTGAACCGGCCCCCCCACAAAGTGGGGGCATTGCCCGCCTCCTATGAAAACCCTGGCACTGGTGAGAACGGTGTGTCCCCACGTGCTAGTAATTGTTATTGTTGTTGTTGTTGTTGTTGTTGTTGTTGTTGTTGTTGTTTAGTCTTCATATCGAAAGAACCGTTATTGTTGATCACCCCCTTTCGGTGACCAATGTTTTTCAATTACAGTGCTTCTTCCGGGGTTTGCACATGGTTTCTCATCAGGGAAAGTTTGGGGTCACCAAGCTGTTTCCAGTTTACAACAACAACAACAGCAACGGCTCCCGCCTGATAGTTCCGTGCGAACTATTCCCTCCTTAGGCTCTGCCTAGAAGGGTTCTTACTCGGTTTGCTTAAAGGGCCAGGCAGTGGCCATCGCCCCGGGCGGTTCCCCCGACATCCGCCCCGCGGTTCCCCCCGTGACGCTCCGTTAGCTTAGCGTTGCTTATCTCATCTTAGCTTAGCTTATTTCATCTTAGTTTAGCTTCATCTTACCTCAGGTCTCTTAGCTTAGCTTACCTTCATCTTAGCTTCGCTGAGCTTTAGCATAGCAGAGCACAGCATAGCATAGCAGAGCGTAGCACAGCACAGCGCAGCACAGCATATCATAGCAAAGCCCAGCATAGCACAGCATAGCGCAGCATAGCATAGCATAGCATAGCGCAGCACATCACAGCACAGCATAACACCGCGCAGCATAGCAGAGCATATCATAGCACGGCAGCGAAGCAAAGGCAAAACAACAGCAACGACAGCAAAGCAAAGCACAAGCAACGCAAAGCAAAGCAAAGCAAAAGCAAAGCAAAGCAAAGGAAAGGCAAACGCAATGTGCGACAGATGCCGAGATGGCCTCGATGGCCGGACCGGAGCCCCCGCAAGCAGTGCCTTCCGTAACAATTTCGGCTCAAGTCCGGAGGACCCTGCCACAAAACGCACAAAACGATGTGAGTTTCGCTGTTGATGTTGATGTGGATGTAGATGCAGGTGTAGATGTTGATGTAGCTTTCGGTTTAGATGTAGGTGTTGCTTTTCTAGATCCTCCAACTCCTAGGTAGGGTCGCACTGGGATAATCTTTGGATGGCGTTCTTGCGCTGGACTTCCTTACAAGTTATGCGGGAATCGCGCTCTCGCGTGGGACCTCTTCGCAATTCATTCAGACGCCGCGCCCTCGACGCTCAGGAACCGCCGTCTCGCTTTGGTTTTTCTGATGATTTATTTGGGAATCGCGCTCTCACTCGAAACCTCTTTGCGGTTCATGCAGGACTCACGCTTCAGCAGCCCGCCTGCTCGACCTGGCCGCCTTGGCCCGCCTTCCCGACCCGCTCGTTAAGGTCTACTCGCCCGGTCAGCCCGTTTGTTTATGCCATGTGTTCTCTGCTCCTAGTCCCCCACCTGCTAATGTCTTCTGTGGTCAATCCTTCTCTCTCCCCCTTCCATCCGTCCTCTCTTTTCGTGTGTTTTGGGGGTTGCACTGAATACGCTTGGCAGGTAAGGAAGATCTACCCTCTAAGGGGGCACGATCGAAGACAAAGTGGGCGGCTTCGAGATATTGGGATATATGTGTTGAAAGTCGCGCGTGCAGGTAAGATCGAACAGTCCTAAACATGTTGTTGCTGTTGTTGATGTTGCTGTTGTTGTGGTCGTCGTCGTCGCCGTCGTGTTGTTGTTGTTGGTGGTGTTGGTGTTGTTGTTGTTGTTGTTGTTGTGGTGGTTGTGGTTGTGGTTGTGGTTGTGGTTGTGGTTGTGGTTGTGGTTGTGGTGGTGGTGGTTGTTATTGTTGTTGTTGTTGTTGATGTTACATGCTAATTTCCAAGCAAGTGTTATTGTTGGACCCCTTGCAGGCGCCCTGGTGCCCTCGCCGAGGCGCCGATTGCATTTTTAGTGGAAATGAGGCTCACTTTCAGGCGGTTTGGGGGGCCGCCCAACCGGCCCCCAAACAACAACAACGTTCCCGTTCGAGACTTCCTCCTTGTTCCCTACCTAGGCTCTGCCTAGAGGGTTCTTACTCTCTTAGCTTAAAGGGGCCGGGCAGTGTAAAGCGCCCTGGGCGGTTCCCCCAGTCCCCGCCCCGCGGTTCCCCCAGTTGCGCCCCCTGGGTTCACCCAGCTTAGCTTAGCTTAGCTTAGCTTATTTTAGCTTAGCTTATCTCATCTTATCATAGCTTAGCTTAGCTTAGCTTAGCTTAGCTTGGCTTAGCTTAGCTTAGCTTAGCTTGGCTTATCTCATCTTAGCTTAGTTTAGCTTGGCTTAGCTTAGCTTATCTCATCTTAGCTCAGCTTAGCTTCGCCTGGCCTAGTCTAGCTTAGCTTTAGTTTAGATGTAGCTTAGATTTAGCTTAGCGTTAGCTTAACTTTAGCTTCAACTTAGCTTTAGCTTAGCTTCAGCTTAGCTTTAGTTTAGTTTTAGATTATATGTAGCTTAGCTTTAGCTGAGCTTTGGCTTAGCTTCAGCTTAGCTTTCGCTTCAGCTTTATATATAGCTTAGCTTTAGCTTAGCTTTAGCTTAGTTCCAGCTTAGCTTAAGCTTAGCTTCAGCCCAGCTTTAGCCTAACTTTAGCTTAGCTTCAGCTTAGCTATAGCTGAGCTTTAGCTAAGCTCTACCCTAGCTTTACCTTAGCTTTACCTTAGCTTTAGCTTAGCTTTAGCTTAGCTTTACCTCAGCTTTAGCTTAGCTTTAGCTTGAGCTTTAGCTTTAGCTTAGCTTTAGTTCTAGCTTAGCCTTAGCTTAGCTTCAGCTTAACTTTAGCTTAGCTTTAGCTTAGCTTTAGTTTAACTTTAATTTAGCTTTAGCTTAGCTTTAATGTAGCTTCAGCTTAGCTTTAGCTTAGCTATAGCTTAGCTTTACTGTTACTATTAATGCTGCTTTCCTAGGGGCTCCAACTCCTAGGTAAGGGTCGCACTGGGATAATTTACTCAGGGCCGGTGCTCTTGCTCGCCGCCTAAAGCAGCCGTCTCAACAAAACCAGCGCTACCGTTTGAGACTTTCTCCCGTTTTACCTTAGACCGGCGCGCTACTCTTTCTCTCATCGGCGCCGCCCCCCAGCAACAACAACGCTCCCGCTCGAGACTTCCACCCTTTTTTGCTCAAGGCGGTGCTTTTGCTTGCCGCCGACAGCCCCCGTCCCGACAACACCACCGTCTGGCGCCCTTTTCTTCTCCTCCTCCTCCTCCTCCTCCTCGTCCTCGTCCGTAGCCATTTTGGCTCAACATGTCTGCTTATCGTGAGCAGGGCATGGATACCGCTAGTCCGCGGCCAGTCCAAGCTTTCCAGCGACAGCCACGGGTGAGCTGGCACCCCTCCATATTCTCTGTGCGCGGCCGCTCCCACCGAGCGGTCAATTCCTGCCCGCAGGGCAACGTATCGTTCGCATGGCAGCTGAGAGCGGCGCTGGTCGTGGCTCTGGGCGCGCTGGCGGCGGTCACCGCGGACCAGGTGCTGCTACCCCTCCTGGGCGACAGCGCCGTGAGCCTGCCTTTTCCCGCCGCTTCTGGAAGATCTCACTCGAGAAGTACGGAGGAACGGAGCACTCGATCGAGACGGAGACCGGCCAGGAAGGACGACGTGCTGGCGGCCCCCGGCCCCCGACGTGGTGGCAAGCGAGAGCCACGTCCCACGCTGGAACCGCAAGTTGCGGCCGCCGCCTCAGATCCTGTCGACATCTCCCTGCCGCGCAGCGGCCCGATGAAGAACCTGGCCCATGGCAAGTCCCTGGTGGTGGACCGTGGCCTACGCGCAGTTCGGCCCGTGGCACTCCCGTCGGTGGATGCCCCACCCCCACGGGGATCTTTGGCGACCTCCAGGCGCTGCTGGACAGCTGCATGCAGCAGGCCACCGTGGCGCTGGCGGAGACTTCGCGAGTACAACTTGCCTCCTGCCAGCAGCAGCTCGTGGGCATGTTCCAGGCGCAACAGGAGCACGCCGCCAAATCGCTCGCTGTCCACGCCCGTGACGTCGCCAAAGTTGGAGAGCACGCGGATGCCCTGGCTGATGAGCAACGGCGGATGCGGGCCCAGATCGACGACATCGAGAAGATGCTTGCCATGGCCGCGAAAGAGGTCCCGATCATCGACTTCCAGGCGCTGGAGGCCTGGGCCAGGCTCCCAGACGCGAGGATCTTCTCCGTGGGCGCACCTGAACTGGTTGGCCCTGCGCAAGTCCGAGCTGGCATCCACGACTGGCTCACAGCTGCTGGCCTCGACAATAACATGGTCCGCCTCGACTCCTCCGTCCCCAGGAAGCGCTTCAACATTGTCGTGGAGGGCGGGCTGGACATCGCCATTCCGCGTGCTCAAGTACTGGCTCGACATCTGCGTAACCCTGCGGCTCCCAATGGTTGGCGCTCCTTCCAATGCCAAGCGGTTGGCGGGGGCGCTGTCCCGCTCGACGTGTCTCCTGACGAACCCCTCAGCAAGTGCGGATGGACATCCAAACGAGGCGTCTCGCCAACATTCTCAGCGAAGCGGTGCCTGGTCACGCCTTCAGCGCCCAGCGGGCTCGAGACATCATCACCTCCCAGGGCGTCAAGCTGGCCGAGCTCGAGATGGGCGACCGTCGGGAAACGGACGCCACAATCCGCTGGAACATGGACATGGTCTTGCGGCTGGCCATCGACAGGGGCGCGACCGCTGAGCAGTTCAAGAAGGCCTTCTCGCTGGAGGACCGCACGGAGTGGCTTTAGCACCCCGCGCTGGGCGCTGTGGCGCTCGCCGACTTCCGATTCTCGTTCCCGAGGGCTGCGTTTGGCGGTGTGGAACGCCAGAGGCTTGCCCCGCTCGAACCCGCGACTGCGGCGCCGCAAGCTCGCGCTCCTGAGTTCGCATATGCGGGCGGGTGCCATGGTCCTTGTCCAGGAAGTCCACGGATCCGAGGATGCGCTGAAGGTCTTCTGTCAGCTTCAGCCGCAACGCTACCTATCGTTTCTGGCGGCTGGCTCTTCCCCTGGTGTTGGTGGCGTTGCATACCTGGTCCCGCAGCAGCCCGCGGCCTCCTCGACTGGGGTGGCCCCCGCGTTCGCCTTCGACATCGTGATCCCTGGCAGGGTCGCCCTTCTCTGTGGCGGCGATCCCTCGTCGCAGTACAGCATTAAGATAATGGGCGTGCGCAGTTTCGACCTCTCAGATGGCGACTTCGCCGCGGTGGAGGCGGCCTGGAACGACGCCGTCGCCAGGGCTGCGGACGGCCGCTTGATGCGCATCCTCACTGGGGCGGGCGGCTTCAACATCGCGGACCGCCCTGCAGTTTCGCAGCGATCTCCAGTGGCAGAGGAGACGTGGCGGCTGCCCCTCACCAGCGCTACCAACTGCGACAGCCTGCGTGGCGCCGTGTCTTCGCCGCGACCCTGGAGATCGAGGCGCCGCGGCCCGCCCGCTTCGACAGGGCCAGCCAGCAGCTCTCCGTCATCGGCCGCGTCTTCCTAGGAATCGACGCGCATGCGATGCTCTCCGTCTCCACGCGGCTCACGACCGCCTGCGGCGCGATGGAGCTGTCGGAACGTGGCCTCAGTGACCGCGCGCCTCTCGTCTTGCAGATCGAGATGGCCCGACGAGTCCCGCGAGAGGAGCAGGTGATCCCGTCGCACCTCTTCTCCCGCTCGAGGTGCCCCGAGACGTTCTCCCTCATGATGGCGAATGGCGATCTGGAGGCGGCGTCGGTCGAGGATCGCTGGCGAGCTACCATGACTTGCATGACATTGGCTGCTGGTCGGATCCGCGACGAGCAGGTGCGCGCCGGCGTTTCCCTGAAGGTCAAGGGCGACAATGCCGAGACCACGCGCATGGGCCTCAAGACTGCGGCGCGGGCCCTCTGGCGCCAGGATGCGTCGCTTGCGGCCCGCCTCCTTGCTTTGTGCCCTGACCTCGCCGCCCGCCTGCTGATCGACCAAGGCGATGTTCGAGTGGCGGATGCCGGCGCCTTCGCCGACGCCCTCGACGCGGTCGCGGCGAAGGCCCACGCTATGCGCAGGCGGGCGGCCGAGGCTGCTGCGCGGAGGCCCAGCGACCGAGACGCCCCCGCCTGGCGCCGCGTGGAGCGGAGGTCTGCCCAACACGCGCAGCTATGGATCCCTTGGCGTCGCCGAGTGGTGCTCGCTGGCCTCCGGCTCGACTCTCCCCCGTGCGCCTCCGACTCCGCCTCGGACGTGACCCCGGAGGTGGTCAGCGACCCTGCGGGCATGACGGGCGTTGTGGCTGAGTACTGGGGCAAGATCTTCGAGCGCGCGCCGACCGTGGAGCAGATGCTGCGGCTCAACCAGTTCCTCGACCGCTTTGCCCCGCAACTACCCGTTGCGGAGCTTCCGCAGCCGTCGCTGCGCGCGCTGGAGCGCGCCGCAGAGCGGGCCCCGCCAAGCGCTCCTGGACCTGGCCAGCTGCCATGCGCGGCGTGGCGGCGCAGCCCTGGGGCTCTCCTGCATCTACGTGCGTTGATGGAGCAGCTGTTCAACGAGGGCGTAGGCCGCATGACCTCAACTGGTCGCTCTTCCTCTGCGTGCCGAAGGGGGCGGAGGATGAGGACGCGCCCGACTCGCGTGCACGTGCGGCCTCCACAGTGCGCGCGGTCCCCCTCGAGAATGCGGACGCCAAGCTCATTGCCGCCTGCGCGGATCGCTTCACTGCTCGACGACGCTTCATGGACCATATCCCGTTCCTGGACGCGGAGTGCCGCCGCGAGGGGCTCCTCCCTGGCGCCGCTCTGCGTCGCCGATGCTGCTCTCCTTCGACTTCGAACAGGCTTTCCCGTCCCTCTTCCGCGACGTGATCGACATCGTGCTGCCGAGGTCCGGCGTCCCGCTGGGCTTCTGCTTCGCGATCTCGGCGTTGTGCTGCAATTGCCTCGCCATCAGCTCCTTCCGAGTTTCTGGAGGCAGCGCGGCGATGGAGCCGCTCTTTGCCTTGAGGTGCGGCATCGTGCAGGGGTGCCCCCTTTCGGGCACGGTCTGGTGCTCGGGTATGGACGCCCCGATCCGTGCTTTGATCAAGGCGCTGGGTGGCCCCCCTGAAGGCTGCCTCACGGCGTGCGCGGACGACCTGGGCATGCTCATCCGCAATGCCAAGGTCCCCCCGTCCATCGCCGACTCTTTTGTTGACGTCGGGGTCGCTTTCAACCTCCAGCTCGCGATCCAAATGTGCGCGCTGGTCCCGCTCTGGGCGGAGGTCACGCCCGACCTGATCAACGATGCCGAGGCGTTCCTGGCCGAGACGGCCCCGAGCTGGAGGGGCTTCCGCGTCGCCTCCTCGGCCATGCACCTGGGCTCGCGCATCGGCCCTGGCATCGCGGAGCAGGGCACCTGGAAGGATGCGGCGGCGAAGTGGCGGTCTCGGGCGACGGAGCTGAGCCGCGCGGGCATGGCGGGCAGCCTTGCCGCTCGCGCCTGCAACGTCAAGGTGCTACTGTGCCTGTCCTACCTGGCCCAGGTTTTCTTCATCGTCCCCGAGATCTGGCGGGTCGAGTTCACGATGCTCCACCGCCTCCTTCGCTTCCCGCCGTCGGCCATGCGCAAGGCGGACATCCTCTCCTTGGGGGCGTGGCGTGGCCCCCCTGCGCCGATGGGCCTGTTGCCGTGCTCGATCGGCGCGCTCCTCCGCGCTGCGGCGCGCGCGGTGCGCAACCGGGGGCCCACGCTGCACGCCCTGCATGACGCCGCGGTCGAGAACCTCCCGCTGGCGAGCGCCTTGAAGGGCTCGTGGTCACCGCCTTGGCAAGCGCTCCATCGTTCAGAACTACGGCCTCGCGATGGGCATGTGCGGCACCCTGCCGTACCCGCGCCCTGCGTTTGACGAGGTGCCCGCCCCTGTGCCGGCGACCATCGTCGAGGCGGCCCGCGCCGCCATGGGCGACGAGGAGAAGGGGGCTGCCCAGGCCCCGCCCCCCCAGGAAGATCAAGCGCCATGCCGTTGCGATGCGCGCCGCCCGCGACGGCCTATACGAGGAACGATTCGGCCGGCTGATCGGCCGCCGCCTGCGGCGGCGGGGGATGGAGGTGCCCGACGAGGAGTTGCGGGGCCGCTGGCTGGAGTTGCGCGCCGTTCTGCGCGCAGCGCGCCCCGCCTGGATGCGGTCGCGGCTGCGCGCCATCTCCAACGGCTGGATCGCGTCTGGCAGGATGCACGTCATGGCGCCCCGCCTGCGCACCATGGGCTGCGAGTCGCGCGACGACCTGTCGCACTACATTGTGCGCCCTGTGCTCCGTGGCGAGGTCGCAGCGTTGGCGCAGGAGAGTGAGCTGAGCAGCGGCGCCACGTTTTTCGGCTTAGGCCACCTGAATGAGCATAGAGCGCGACCGCGCATTGACTGTGTTCGCGCGGTGGCGCTGGGCACGCAGCTGTTTCAGATTCTGAAGTGGCGTGCCGATGTTGGCTCGCCCATCCACGCCGCTGCTATCGCCTCTGCGCGGGTTGCAGCGCTGCATCGACTACAGGCATAGTGCGATTCTATCGAATCAGTGTTCTGGAAGCAGATCGGCGCCAGCAGTCGGACGCGCGCGGACTTCTTGCCCTCGTCTCGCGTCTTGCCCGCTTGCCCTCGTCTCTTCCTCTTTGAGTGCGTGCGCTCCTCCTCGTCCTCGTCCTCGTCGTCGTCGTCCTCCTCCTCCTCCTCCACCTCCTCCTAGTTCTTCTCCTCCTCTTTCTCCTGCTCCTCCTCTCCTCCTCCTCCTCCTCCCCCCTCCCTCGTCCTCCCTCTTCCTTCATCCACCCCCTCCTCTTCTCCCTTCTCCCTTCTCCCTCCTCCGTCCCTCTTTCCTCCCTCCCCCCTCCTCCTCCTCCTCTTCCTCCTCCTCCTCGTCCTCCCTCCTCCCCCTCCTCCTCCTTCTCCTCCTCCTCATCCTTTTCCTCTTCCTCCTCCTCCTCCTCTTCCTCCTCCGTAGCCATTTTGGCTCAAGGCCATGAGGCGCGGCGGCGTCCAAATGGATGCCGCTGTGCCGCGGCCGGGAGTCGAGATTCCTTTGCAGCCACCCCCAGGGCGAGCTGCCGCCAAAGACTGGTCCGCGTGGACCCACAGTTTTGCGCCCGCGAGGGCTCTCCATCGCAACGCATGGCGGCCGAGGGGGAGCGGCGCAGGGCGGGTCGCGCTGGTGGCGGCCACCGCGGTCCTGGCGCTGCTGACGGGCGGAGGCGCGGCGACAAGGGCAAGGAGCAGCCGCCTGCCGAGGACCTGCGGTCGGCCTCCCGCAGCACCAACGAGCGAGCCCCTGCGCGGCGGCGAGCTCGGCGGGGCCACCCACGCTCCGACGGCGAAGCGGATGCCTCGGGATCGCCGGCCAGTGATCGTGCGCGACATGGACCTGGGGGACTCGATCGCGCCGCCCAGGATGAGCTCGCCGCTGCGTTCGAGGCGGCGGCCACCTTCCCCTCGCAGGAGCGTCAGGCCATGCAAGTCGAGCAGGCGCCCACTGGCAACCCGCAAGCTGGACCTCAACATGCCCCTCCTGACCCGTGGCAACGACCTGGTGGGGACCCTTGGCACGATCGTGCTGCTTCTGCTGACGGACACGCCGTACCTCCTGCTGCTGGCACTCCCATCGGTGGGATGGCCACTCCTGTGGACGCTGGCGGCATGGACATGCAGGCCATGTTGCAGAGCTGCATCCGCCAGGCCACCGACGCCATCGCCGCAACCTCCATGGCCCAGGTCACTTCCTGCCAGACGCAGCTGGTGCGTATGTTTCAGACCCAGCAGGAGGCTGTCAACAGATCCCTCGCCGTGCAGACGCGCGACATCGCATCCGTCGGGCAGCGCGCCGACGCCTTGGAGGCGGAGCAGGCTGCCATGCGCAAGCAGATCGGAGACATCAACAAGGCCTTGGCCCTCGCCGAGAAGGAGCTGCCCCTCATGGACTTGCAAGAGCTGGAGGCGTGGTCTCGTCAGCCCAACCCGCGGATCTTCTCGATCGGAGCGCCGCAGTTGGTTGGACCCGCCCAAGCGCTGCAAGGACTGGAGGAGTGGATTCGGGCAGCGGGCCTCACCAACGACATGGTCCGCCTCGACCCCGCGGTCCCCTCCAAGCGCTTCAACGTCCTGGTGCAGGGCGGCGATGGCGTCGCTCGCCCGCGGGCCCAAGCTCTGGCACGGCAGCTACGTGACCCAGCTGGCAGGAACGGTTGGCGGGCCTTCTGTGCCCAGAGCGTCGGCGGAGGCACCGTCCCGCTGTACATCTCGCCCGACAAGTCGCCGCAGCAAGTTCGAATGGAGATCCAGTCGAGGAGGCTCGCGGCCCTGTTGGCAGAAGCTCATCCTGATCTGTCTTTCAGTGCTCAGCGGGCCCGTGGCATCGTCACCTCCCAGGGCGTCGAGGTTGCCGAGCTCGAGATGGGCGAATCCCGCTGCACTGACACTATCATCAGGTGGAACCCAGACATGGTCGCTAGGCTGCACATCGACAGGGAGTCCATCAACACACAGTTCAAGAAGTCCTTCTCAATGGAGGACAACACCGAGTGGATTTAGCACCCCACTGTGGGCGCCCTGGCGTCCCCCTGGCGATCGACATGGCTTCCGTGGTCTGCACCTGGTCGCGTGGAATGCCCGTGGCCTGCTCCACTCGGACGCGAGGCTGCGCAGACGCAAGTTGGCACTGCTCACCTCATACATGAAGGTCAACGCCATCATCGCCGTGCAGGAGGTCCACGGCTCCGAGGACGCCCTCAGGATCTTCCTCCAGTCGCAGCCGCAGAAGTACTTGAGCTTCCTCTCGCCTGGCCCTTCTGCGGCCGTGGGCGGGGTCGCCTTTCTTGTCCCTCGACACGTCGATGAATGTCCAAGGGCGGATGGGCCCAGAGCCGAATCTCTGGGAAGCGGGGGCGTGGCGCGGCGGGTGGGGCCCCCTGAGTGTGCCTCGCCCCCTGCTGCATCCTTACCGACGCAAGACACCTGGTCAAGTGCACGAACCTCCTCTCCACCGTCGACAGTAAGTCGCCCCGACACCTGGTCAAGTATACGACGCCCCCCCACGACTTTCACGTCGCTACCGAACTACATCCGGTCAAGTTCACGAAATTCCACACCTGCTCTGCCGTCCTACCGCTTCGACATAGTGGCGGTCGGCCGCGCGGCGCTCCTCACGATCACCGACAGCTCGGGCAAGTACAGCATGCAGATCTTCAACATCCACAACTACGACCTCAAGCCGCACGAGTTCTCTGCTATACAGCGCACTTGGTCCAGCGGCCTGGCGTGGGCGCGCCGAGACTCGTTGCGCCGCATCTTTCTGGGGGTCGGCGACTTCAACATAGCTACCCGCCCGCCAGTCAGTCAACGAGCACCCTCTGACGCTACGGCGTGGTGCCTCCGACCTGATCACCGCTGCCAACTTCGGCAACCTGCGTGGCGCCGACTATTCGCTGCAGCCATGGAGATCGAGTCTCAATGGCCGACCCACTACGACAAGTCCTGCAAGCAGCTGTCCACGATTGACCGCATCTTCTTGGGCATCGACGCGCACGCCATGCTCTCGGTCTCAACGATCCTTACCACGGCGAGGGATGCGATGGAGCTCTCCGAGGCGGGCATCAGTGACCATGCGCCCCTCGTCTTGCAGATCACCGCCGCACGCCATGTCCCACGAGACGAGCAGCCAATCCTGACGCACCTCTTCAACCACAGGAAGTACCCCGATACCTACAAGCTCATGCTGGACCACCGCGCCCTGGCGGGGGAAACGGCGGAAGGTCGTTGGAGAGCAGCGAAGCAGTGCATGAAGCTTGCTGCGCGACGTGTACGCGATGAACAGCTGAGGACCAACTTCTCCCTCCACGTCAAGGACTCCACGGTCGAGACCTCGTACATGGGTTTCAAATCGGCGGCGCGAGCAGTCTGGCGACAGGACGCTGTCCTGGCAGGTAGGCTTCTCGACTCCTGCCCTGCGCTGGCCGTCCACCTCCACATTACCGATGGCACCGTGCGCCTCGTGGACCCCCACAGCTTTGCCACCAACTTCGACGCTATCGCCGAGCGGGTGCACTCCCTGCGAAGGCAGGCGGCGGAGGCAGCAGCTCGGACGGCCAACGTGCGCGACAGCGCAGCCTGGCGGAGGGTTGAACGCAAGGCCGCCAGACATGCGCAGCTCTGGGTCCCGTGGCGGCGCCGCATGATCCTCTCGGGCTTGCGCGTGGATTCCGCACCGTGTGCCGCCAAGGACTCGCAGGTGGCGCAGCACGTGGTCTCTGACCCAGCGGGCATGAAGGCGACTGTGGCGAACTACTGGGGTAAGATCTTTGCGAAGGTGCCGAATCCCGAACAGCTCAAGGCACTGGACACCTTCCTGGACAAGCACGCACCAAGGAACCCTGTGGTGGAACTTCCTCAACCTGGTCTTCACGACCTGGAACGGGCGGCCAGTAGGGCACCGCCGAGCGCTGCGGGACCAGATCAGCTTACGTACGCAGCATGGCGCCGCAGCCCTGGAGCCTTGCAGCATCTCCAGGGGCTCATGGAAGCCCTCCTCAACGACGGCGTAGCCCCGCTCGACCTCAACTGGTCGATCTTCATCTGCGTGCCGAAGGGCACGGATGAGGACGACGTCCCCGACTCCTGCACGCGCGCGGCCTCCACGGTGCGCACCCTTTCCCTGAAGAGCTGCGACGCCAAGCTGATTGCGGCCTGCGCAGATCGAGGGCTCCAGCCCATCGCCGCATCATCTACCTCACCCGAGCAGAAGGGCTTCACTGCTGGGCGGCGCTTTGTCGACCACATCCCGTTCTTGGACGCGGAATGCCGTAGGGAGGGCCTCCTTCCTGGCGCTGCGACCCGCCGCCCCATGTTCCTCTCGTTCGACTTCCGCCAGGCCTTCCCCTCGCTCTTCAGGGAAGTTATCGAGAAGGTCCTCCCGCGCTTCGGGGCCCCGCTGGGCTTCCGCAATGTGATCGAGGCGCTCTACAACAACTGCCTCGCCTTCAGCTCCTTCCGCGCCGAGGGCACCAGTGCGGAGCTCGAGCCGCTGTTCGCGCTCCTGTGCGGCATCATGCAAGGATGCCCGCTCTCTGGCACGGTCTGGTGCTTGGCCATGGATGCGCCCATCCGTGCGCTGCTGGCTGCGATTGCTGAGCATGGATTCCTCACGGCTTGCGCCGACGATCTCGGGATGCCGATCAAGAACGCTGTCGCCCTCCCTAGCATAGACCACACCTTCGTCTCTATAGAGTTCGCCTTCAACCTGCATCTGGCCCTGCACAAGTGCGTGCTGGTCCCGCTGTGGGAGGAGCTCACGGAGGACACACTGCTGAACGTCAAGTCTTTCCTCGCTGAGGAGGTCCCTCGCTGGCTGGGCTTCCGCGTCGACTCCACGGCCAAGTACCTGGGGGCTCACCTGGGCCCAGGCGTCACGGACTTCGGCATCTGGAAGGCCGCGGCGGGGAAATGGTGGACTCGCTGCTGGGAGCTGGCGCGCACAGGCATGGCCACCAGCCTTGCGGCCCGCGCGTGCAACATCAACGCGCTGCCGTGCCTCTCGTACCTCGCGCAGTTCTACTTCATCGTGCCTGCCATCTGGAAGGTCGAGTTCACCTCCCTGCACCGCCTGCTGCGGCTGCCGCCCTCGTCCATGCGCAAGGCTGGCATCCTGTCGATGAGCGCGTGGCGTGGCTCCCCGTCGCCGATTGGCCTCTTCCCCTACACGCTCGCGGCGATGATGCGCTCGGCGGGGAACACGGTGCGCGGATGGGAAGCCCACCTTCACCACCTCCATGAAGCTGCAGTGGAGCATGTCCCGCTGATTGACGTGATCAAGGGCAACTGGTCTCCGCCGTGGTGGCGGGCGCGGAGGGCGATCGTGCAGAATTGCGCCATGATCTCGGACACCTACGCCCAGCTGGACATCCCCAGACCGACGCTCGACGTGATCGCGATCCCGATCCCGAGCAGGTACCTCAAGATTGCGAAGTCGGCGATGACCCTGGAGACGAAGACGGCGGCAGCGGCCACTCCTCCCAGGAAGCCCAAGCGCCAGGCCATGGCCGCCGCGTCGCTCCGTGGCTCGCTGTACCCCGAGGACCTGGTGGCCACCATCCACCGACGGCTGCGCAGGTGGGGCGTCGAGTGCCCGTTGCCTGTGCTGCGCGAGAGGTGGCCTCCGCTGCGTAGCAAGCTGACGGAGGTCCGCCCTGCCTGGATGTGGTCGTGGATGCGCACCGCAGTCAACGGCTGGACGACTTCGCGTCGCATGAGCGCCGTCATCGACGCGCGCCCGTGCCTCTTCGGCTGCGAAGAGGAGGATGCTCTCGAGCACTACATCTCCTGCCCGATCCTCAGGGCGATGGTCGCGGGCGAGGCGGGTGCGGACTCCCTGGGCAACGGCCCCGAGCTCCTTGGCTTCGGCGACGAGCAGTGCCACGCGAAGCGCCCCATCACGGAGTGCATCTACGCCGTCGGCCTCATGTGCCAGTGCTACCACATCCAGAAGCACCGCATGGACGTGGGCCTGGCCGCGGGAGCTGACCAGCGGGCTGGTGTGAGACTGGCCGCGCTGCATCGCATGCAAGCATAGGCGAGGCTGCAGATCGAACTGCCCGCCGAGCTTCGTGCCCTCCTCCTCTTCCTCCTCCACCCCCTCCTCCTCCTCCCTCCTTCCCCCTTTCTCTTCCCCCCCCCTTCCTCCCCCCGCCCCCTTCTCGTCTTCCTCCTCCCTCTTCCCTCTCCCGTCCCTCTTTCTTCCCTCCTCCTCCCTCCTCCCTTTGCCTGTCCCTTTTCGTCACCCTTGTCAACTCCCTCCTCCTGCCTCCCTCCTCCTTCCCCCTTTCCCCTTCCGTCTTCCCTCGTCGCCCCCGTCTGATACTTCCTCGCCTTGTACTCAAGACTGCGGCCCTCGTTGCGCTTCTGGGGGGCTTCCAGGAGTCCCCGTTGAACCTTAATTCCTCAATGATTTTCATTTTTGGAGAGCATATATCATGTGGAGGAGGAGGAGGAGAAGAAGTGGGACTGATGACTTCCAGGGACTCCAAGGATCGAGGGTCCAAGGATTGACTTCAGGGGCTCCTTGAGCGGGTGTGGAAGGGGCTGGTGGGCTGGTGGAGGATGCGAGCATGGGAGCGGCAGCGCCCTGGGGTCGTGAACGTTCAGGGTCACGCGCCGAGGCCGCAGGATGGTGGCGTAACAATTCGAACGAGGGGTAAGAACCACCTCGTCCTCGGATGTACTGGTACTACAACTACTCCTTCCTCCCCTTCCTCCTCCTCACGATGGTAAACTGGTTGTTGTTGCTGATATTGATGCATTTTCATTCTTGGGAAATTATTATGTTTGATCACCCTCTGGTGACCATTGTGTTTTTTCAATTGAAGTTCCCCCCCCCCCCCGGGGCTCGCAGGGAAAGTCCCGGAATCTGGCCCCTGGCCCTTGGTTCACAGCGACAGCAGTTCGCCTTTGATGCTTCCTCGCAATTTATTTTAACATCGCGCTCTCGCGCGGGACTTCCGCACCATTCATGTGCGCACCGCGCTCTCGCGTGGGACTTCGTCAGGCGGTGCGCGGTCGGCGCTCAGGAATCAAGCTTTCGCTCTTGCTTCTCTCACGGTTTAATTTGGAATGGTGCTATCCCTTCAAACTTTCTGGCGTTTCACACAGAAACCACGCTTCAGCAACCCGCCTGCTCGACCTCGTCGTCTAGGCCCGCCTTCCCGACCTGCTCGCTATGGGTGTGCCCGCCTGATATGCCCGTGTGGTTCTACCACTTGCATTCTGCTTCTCGCCCCCTCCTGCTAATTTCATTCGTGTTCCATTATTTACCCTCTCGTGTTAAGTTATCCGTGCTTGTTTGTTGTTTGCTGTTTGGTGTTGGTTGCTTGTTGATTGTAGTTTGTTGTGTGTTGTTCGTTGTTGATGTCGTTGGTGGTGATGTCGCGGTTGCTGTTGCTGCTGTTGTTGATGCTGTTGGTGTTTGTTTTGCTGTCGTTGTTTATGCGGTTGTTGTTGTTGTTGTTGCCGGTGTTGTTGATGTTGTTGTTGTTTGCGAGCATGATGATGATTGCCTTCTCGCCGGGGCCGTTCCGGACGCTCTACCACTCGCGCCCCCCTCCCTCCAGGTTCAAGGGGAGGGGGGAGGGCAAGCTATGCTCATTCGCGGTTCATCTGGCATCCTATCCCTCCTTCCCATCCCTTCGCATGACGCCGATGTTGATCAATTCGCGGACGCGTGTCATAGCGAACCTGCTGCTCGCACAGCAAGACAATTTCATGTTTTGCGCAATCGGAGCTGCGAGCACTAGAGGAGGATGTGACTGGTGAGCGGGAGGACAAGGATTAGGACGGACAACAGCAGCAGGAAATAAAGCTGACGGGTCGGGAGGAACAGGAGGACCAGGGGAAGGCGGAGCAGGGGAGTTGACGTGGTCGACCACGATGAGGAACTATTCGGATTCAGAAAAAGGGGCCCGCGCTGGGGCAAGACGAACAGCAACAGCAGGAACTGGAGTGGAAGGAGCGGGAGGAACAGGAGGACCAGGGGAAGGCGGAGGAGGCGAAATGAGGGGAGCCACAATGAAGCAAGACTCGGGTCCAGAAATGTGGCCCGCGCTGGGGCGACAGCGTCATTCTGAACGATGGGGCGAAGAGCCGACCCGAAAATGAGACCCACGCTTCAGCGGGAACACCATCTTGAAACACCGAAAACAACCAGGTCGCAAAAACACAAAAAAACATTATTTTTTGATATCCGCTGTGTTAAACAAAAAACAGCACGCAGAGGGCGGGAGAGTTTCCGGACCACTTCAGGGGAGGAGGGAGAATAGTATTCACATCGCCTGACTATGAAGGGACGAACTCCTCCCCGAAGGGGAAGAGGGGGGTTGGAAGAGGAACCACCCTTCACCACTCACGCCCTAAAGGGCTGGTGGGATTTTCGGCCTTCGGGGGCCCTCGCAGGTCCCTGGGGCCATTAAAGAAAACTTAGGATGCAAAGCCGGTACCGTGAACGGTCGAGACCCCTGGGGGTCTACGTTGTGAGAAAATCATGACGTCGGGGGTCTGGCGAGGGGGGGATCGGGAAAAAGAGGGTACGACATCTGCTTGCGGCTGGTCTTGGCCCCGCCGCCTGGCGCTCTCCTGTAGTCACCTGGAGCTTCCCTGGCGCCGGAGAAATCGTGAGCTGATTCGCTGCCCCCTGTACGCTGACTTTTCAGGCGTGCCAAAAAAACACCAGGGCCTTTAAGTTTAAATCGTGGTTGAGGTTTTCAGTAGCTCTGATATTTTTACCATTCAGGAATGTCAGGATACTAACCCTTCTTTTCTTCCGACCCTGGACCGACGGTGGCGCGTGTGGCGGCGTCGGCGGCGCTGGCGTCGCTGCCGTCGCCGCTATCGAGGTCGGGCAGGCGGATCAGGGGCAACGTTGGGGGTGGGATAGGCTCAGCGGGGGATGCATCGACCCCCCAATCGCCCGTGCATCGCCGATTGGGGCCCGATAGCCCGCCCCTCCCAGCACCGCTGGGTTTCGTTATCGGAAGCCTATCGCCGACCTGTTCGCGGTACATCGCCGATTTCAGCTCGACGTTTTCCCCCATGAGCCGGCCCCCCTCCGACGTCCGATCTGCAGCTCCTGGGGCCCAGTTGGCCTCGTGAGGGGTGCTCTGGTGGCCGCAGGGGCTCTTTGAAAGTCCTGAGGACACCTTGGGCCAGGGATGATTCAGTCGGCGGCGAGCCTGGGGGGAAGTCCGAGGGGGCGGGACTTCCAGAGGACTCGGAAGGCTTCTGGCCTTCTGAAAACTCTCCAAAGTCTACTCGGCGGACAGGGACGGCTTCGTGCCTGAGAAGGCCTGCCGCCTTTGGGAAGGCCTGCCCTCTCTCATTCCCCCCCAGGCTTGCCGCCGATTGCCCCCCGAGGCCGACAACTGCAAAAAACCTCCGTCCTGTTTTCCAAGACGCGGACATGCCTGGGCATTGCTGGCAACACCCGAGCGGAGGGCCGCCGCCACCGCAGCCGCCGCGGCCCGCTCAGGCGGATGGCCTTCGTGCCGCGAGCGGCTCGAGGCGCGGCAAGGCCTTTACGCTGCTGGCGGGCCTCGGGCACGGGTACCTGGGCGTGGACTTCGCCGGCAGGGCGCCTGGTCGCGTGACCGTGAGGTCGCTGGACGGTGGGCGGGCAAGAGTCAGGGGCTACGTTAGGGGGGACAGGCCCAGGGCAGCTTTCGAAAGACTGCGGAAGCTATCAGGAGTTCTCGGGGCCCAGGGGGCTATTCATCAGCTGCGCCTCATCGAGGGCGTTCTGGGGGTGCCGGGATCGTCCCGAACGGCCGCCGGAGACCCGAGTTGTGACCTTAGGCGAGGCGGCTGGTTCGAGATTCGAAGTTATTGGGGATATTCGCTGATTCCTGGACGTTTTCCAGCCTCGGGATGCGCTCCAGCAGCTGCGCCTCGCCGAGGTCGTTCTGGGTGTGCCCTGACCGTCCCGAACGGCCGCGGGAGACCCGAGTTATGATTCGAAAACCGAAACCAGTAAGTGGCAAAGTTCGGGGAGGGGCGGCATTTGATCAGGGGGATGCACCGACCCTGATCACCCATTGATCGCCGATAGGGGCCTGATAATCAGCCTAGCACGCTCAGGTGGTCGCCAGACAGCGGGCGGGTCGGGCGTCGTGGGCGGGAAGCGTATCCATGTCCACGGCCTCGCGAGCCGGGCCCCTAGACCGCGACCCCATGTATAAAAGGGCATTGTTTTGTGGATCATTCGCGCGGAACGAATCCCAGTGACCGCGTATCCACGGGATCGCGCCCCAGAGTCCATGCCGCGAAGGCGTGGATGTGATATGTTCGCCGCTCGTGAAGAGAGGAGAACTTCGGATCGATCATCGATGATCGGGGATCGAACTGCGGGGATCGATGTTTTTGTGCGTTTTTCACCCTTTCTCGGCCTTCGGGGGGTTTCTCGTCGCCACGGCTGGATCTCCCGAGCCCCGTGATGCAGAGGCTGCTGCTGATTTGATGGTATACTGCTTCTTGATGAGAATGGGGGTCATGTTGCTGACATGTATGTTTGTGATAATCCTGAATCGCTATGGTGATGCTGATGGTGGTGTTGGTGATGTTGGTGATGGTGGTGACGATGGTGATGTTGGTGATGATGATGGTGATGCCGGCAAATGTTCATGATGATGCCGGTGCCGATGCCGATCATTGTGATGATGATGGTGGTGGTGGTGGTAATGATGCTGATGACGATGCTGATGACGACGACGACGATGATGATGCTGATGATGATGATGATGATGATGATGATGATGATGATGATGACAGTGATGGTGGTGACGATGGTGATTGTGATGATGATGATGATGATGATGATGATGATGATGATGATGATGATGAACATGACAACGATGATGATGCTGCTGATGATGATGATGATGATGATGATGATGCTGCTGCTGTGGCTTATGATGCTGATGCCGATGCTGATGGTAGTGGTGTTGCTGCTGATGGTGATTTAGGATGATGATGATGGTGATGATGGCAACGACGAAGATGACAATGACGACAGCAATGACGATGAGATGACGATGGCGATGACGACGACGACAGACGACGACGCTGTTGCTGCTGTCGATGATGATGGCACGGGTGATACTGATTATACTGATGGTGACGATGATGATGTTGCTGATGATGAAGTTGAGGATGATGTTGACGATGGTGGAGGTGATACTGAGTTGAATGATGATGCTGAGGATGCTGATGTTAATACTGATGCTGATGATAATGAGGTTATTGACTATGGTGATGATGGTGATGATGATGCTGATGGTGTTGATGATGATGATGCTGATGATGATGATGATGATGATGATGATGATGGTGATGGTGATGATGATGGCGACGATGCTGATAATGCTGATGATTATGATGATGATGATGATGATGATGATGGTGATGACGGTGATGGTGATGGTGATGATGATGACGATGATGATGCTGATGATGATGATGATGCTGATGATGGCGATGCTGATGCTGATGATGATCCTGGTCCCCACCCTCATCCTGTTGCTGCCGCTCCTCCTTCTCGGCCCTCGCTGCTCTGCACGGCCGCCGCCGTGCCTGCCTGTGTTGCCGCTGCCGCTCCCTCCCCAGCCGTGACCTGTGCTTCCGAGCCTTCCAGAGCCGGGTTGGCGGCGCCCCCTCCTGGGCCCCCCCCGAGAGGACACCTCGGGCGTTGCCTGGTGGGCCCAGGAGCACGGGCTCGAGATAGGCGACGAGGCTCGGAGGAGGGAAAGGTACGGATACTGCTACCCTTCCCTGGTGCTTGCCTTTGCGGGCCTCTGGGGAGGCCCGTGTCACCACGTCTGGATTCGCTTCGAAATTCTGGTCAGAACGGATCTCGGGATAGGTCTGCGGAGTAGCGGCGACGGTGCCTTTTGTATTCCCCTCAGAGGTGCTTGCCGTCAACGGTCGCAGGGTGGCCGACATCAAGGCGCAGGAGCCCGCAGACCTGGGCGCGGCACCGCAAGATCTGGCGTCAGTTTCGGCGTTCTCGGCCTCCAGGGCCGTCGCCGAAACGATTCAGGATGAAAAGCCGGCCCCGGGGAAGCAACCGAAACCACGTGCCCACGCCACGACCACAATGCGACGCCGGAGGAGGGGTGAACGGGCTAGCTGGGGCCTGAGGAAGCGGCGGCACGGATCATGCCATCGGACAAGCGATGAAACCTCCGGATGCCGTAGGACCATCAGAGGGCAGCAGGAGCAGCAAAGGGAGCACCCTTGTCTCAGGACTCGCGCTGCCATTCGGGGCCAGGTGAGGGCCAGTCGCTGCCTGGCCACGTCTTTTTGGCCAGGGTGTCCGCAGACAGTGGCTCGGAGGAGGATAACTGAACAGATCCCTCGCGTTCCTGTGCCTCCCTCCCGGCCCGAAGACAGAGACATACGATCACATTTGTTGCGTCGGCGGCGAGGCAGGGGTCGTCTGCGCTAGCGGAATGAGCTGAACGGGGTTGCCGTTGAAACGAATTGGCCAGCAGGCGAGAGCCGGAAAATAGGACAGGACAGGCGGCCGCAGAGGGGGGGGGAGGGGCGACGGCCACTCAGGGGCGGACGGGTCGCGTCCCTGTGTGGGCTGGTGCGGCCAGCCCCCTCAGCGGGGGATGTAGCAGCAGCCGGGCCGCTGCGTCGGTGTACCTGTGGAGGCGGGGCCCAGTACGGGCACTGCAAGTAAAGGGGACAGCAAGGCCGGCAGGCCGCGCGCCGCCCAGGTGGGGGCGCAGGACAAGGTGCGGCAAGTGAAAGTGCATCCAGGTTGGACCGCATCCAGCAAAATGCTGGGTCAGCGTGGGGGAACTGGCGGCAAGACCAGGCCCAGGATCCCGAACGCGTGGCGGCTGCAGGAGGCACCAGCCCGGGCGCCATGGCGGCGCGCGGAGGGAGGGAGAGCGGGCAAGGGGGGAGGGGAGAACAGAGAAGAGGAGCGCCCCGCCTGCGGGAAGCCCCACAGGCGGAGCGGCAACGCCGGTGCCGCGCCAGCGGTAGCGCGCTGCATGCGGCGCGCTGGGCTGCCGCGGCTGGGGTCCCCGAGGCTGCGGCAGCTCAGGGCTGAGGCAGGGGCCGCATGCGCGGGCAGGTGGACGGAGGAAGTGCAAATAATGGCGTAACTACCGTCGAGGGCCATGGCGGCTGCTCGCTTCCGGGGTGGGCAGCAAACGGCACGCCGCAGGCCAACCAAAGCCGTGGCCAAAGCCACTGGTTCCATTGCCCGGGTGGACAGGATGGGCCAACAGAGGGCTAGGGCGGCCGTTCGTTGCCGGGGTGGACAGCAAGCGGCGCCCCGTGGCCAAAATTGTGGCCGAGGCCAGCGGCCCCCGCTGCCAGGGTGGACAGGGTGGGCCAGGTCGGGGGCACTTAATCGGTGCAAGAAGGTGTGCAGTTAGGGCAGACCGCTGAGGCTGCACGCCGCTGTGGCGGGCAGCGCGCAGCCAGTGGGTGGCCTACGGAAGGGCGCGGGGGAGGGAGAGCAAAAACGAAGCCACGCGCTGCCGAGGTGGCAGGCGCGTGTTCAACAGGGTCCGCCAGGTGGCTCAGGACTGGATGACGTCAGCTGGAGTTGGCCTTGGGGCGGCAGGTGAATCCTTTGGCGGCTGGTCAAAGGGCCAGGCACAGGGGGCGTCTGGGGGTCGGGCTTCCTAGGGCCGGGGCGCGGCAGAGTCGTGACACCATAATTCTTCGCGCTTCGCGTATCCCTACCAGCCTAACTGAGGTTGACCGCATGCCCCTTCCCTTTGGGGTGCCCCTGGGCTCTCGGGCCTGCGACTCGCCCGTGGTCGCCATTTCTGCCCGCCCCCCTCTTAGGCGATCCGGAACTCCTCCGTTGAGCGCTTGCATGCCCGCTCGTCGTCCTCCTTGATGACGCTTCCGCCAAGGCCCCTCTTTGGCGATCCGGAACACTTCCGTCGAGCGCCTGCACGCAAGTTCATCGCCGTCTCCGACCTCCTGGTGGTCTTCGAGTTCGGCGTCATCTTGCTCTTCGCCGCTTTGGCGCTGCATGTTGACCTGGAGCTGTTCTGGGCCCCCCGCGCTTCTGAGTCGCAGAGTAGTTTGCTCCTGCGCGCATAGTGCTTAGTGGATACTTTAGGCCACTGCTAGCTTGCAATTCCTTGACGGCGCCTGGCACCCCTGCGCGCTCGCGACCAAAAAAGTATCCCCACCAGCCCATTCAGAATCCGTGCCCACGAGAGCTGACGGGAAAAGGGACGAAGGGACACACGTAGGGAAACAAAGCGTGCAACCAGGATGAACCGAGAGATCTCTGGCAGCAAGGGGGTGGCCTTGGAAGGCCTCTTTGGGCCATCCCTGGGGGCCGCGTGGGAGCGTGGGGAAGAGGAGGAAGAGGAGGAGGAATGCTTCTGTTTTATGTCTTCCTCATTATCCCTTCGCCCAAAGGGCTGGTGGGATTTCTCAGCCATCAGTTGGTGCTGCTGCTGGCGGTGCTGCTGATGTTGTTATTGCCTCTGTTGGTGCTGCGGCTGGTGCCCTGGAAGTCCTGTTGGGGCCATCTAGAAGAGCATCGATCAAAAGAGTGGGGGTCATCGATTTCGGCCCCTTCCCAGGAGCCCTCAAAATCGCCTCGTGGAGCTTTCCTAGGGCTCTTTGGAAGGGTTTTGGAGCTTTCTTAGGTCTTTTGGGGGGTTCTTGGAGTCCTGTGGGGGCCCTCTTGGGGCTCTCTTGAGGCCGTCTTGGGGGCCTTGGAAGGCCTCTAAAGAGGAGATGGTATAACATTCGGCTTCCCCCCCCCAAAGAGGCCCAAACGGGGCCAATACCTTAGTAACGAAATGATTTGGGCTTCTTCGTCGAGGCCGTGTTTGGACGCCCTGACACTTCGCGAAACCCCCGAAAAGCCAGGGGGGTATGGGGGAGGGGTAAGCCCTTCCCCGTTGGGGAAGATTTGTTGTTGAAAGGGGGGAGGATAATCTCGTAAGACGATCTGCGCCCAGAGGGCTGGTGGGATTACCGGGGTGAGCGCTCCGATGCGACAGACCAGGGTGGGCGTCAGAGGTACGGTTGGTCGGTGGAGTTGGGAAGGCGCTGCTTGGACTGGTCGTTGTTGCGCCACGAGGGGTCAGCAAGTCTTTTGATTTTTCCCGCAGTGTCCTGACCCGTTCCTTTACCCTCGCCACTGTCCCACTGCTGCTGCTCGTTGCGCCGCAGCTGCTTCTGCTTGGCGTCGTGCCAGTCGACGTAGAGGCCCCGCGTGCTGCAGACTCTGCGGATGTTGAAGTTCTCTTCCCGCAGCTGAAGCGGTATTTCGTTGAGCCGTCCTGTCCTAGTGTGTCTCAGGTGCCTCTGCAGGGCCGACCGTCCCAGGCGTCGCAGATTTCGTTCCAGCCTTCCTACGAACATGGTTGTTCATTCCTTTTGTTCATCTTGTTTACGACCTCTGGCCACGTTTCCTGTCAGTTGGTGCAGTGGTTCCAGTCACGGTGCCAGCGGATGTTCCGGCGAAGTTTACTGTGGAGACTGTCGTTGGGGTCGTGGTGGCGTGTGTACCCGGTGTCGGTAAGCGGGGTCCTGTGCCTTGGGAGCGGTACAAGACGGGGCGGTCTGGGCGCACGTCGGATGAGGAGGCTCCCCCGTCGCGATGGTCAGTCCTGCTCTGCCGTCCTGGGAGTCTTGCGTGCGCGTCCTTCGTCGGGGTCGTCAGTTATGCCTTTTTGGCCACCGTGTGGGTGCGGGTGTCAGGGTTGCGCGAGCTGGCGTCGCCCTCCCCAGCGGTTGCGGGGTTGCCGGTTGGGGATGGTCGCTCGTGCTGAGGCTCCTGAGGGGCTGGCTGGCGGCTGCGTTCGCATATGAGGCTGCTGTCCGCTGCCAGGATGCGCTGATCCGTGTGTGGGGCTAGATGCTGGCTGGGGCTGGCCAGTGGGTCGAGTTCGGGGGACCCGAAGTCCATGTCAGAGTCTCCGTGCGCGGGAGATGGAGTGGGTGGGTTTTGCATTCCAGAAGGGCAGGGGGCGGTTGCAGCGTGCTTAGCGCGGTGGGTGCTCAGCGCCAAGGCAATGGGGCTTGCCGCAAAGCTGCTGACTTCTCCTGGGGTTGAGCTGGGTTGGGTGGCCTGGGGTGTTCCGGCGCCGCGTCCCTCAGCAGGAGGGCCTGCTCTGATTTACTGGCGCAGCTTCGGGAGGTCGACAGTGCTGACATAATTGAACTGAATTACCAAAGCCGTTAGATGGCAGTTTTATTTCCGGGGATGAGGATATTTCGCTGGCAGTTTTGAGCGTGGGGTGTGAGGATATGTCGCTGGCAGTTTTAAATCAGGGGTGTGAGGATATTTCGCTGGCTGTCTTAAGCGAGGGGTGTGAGGATATAGGAGGTGAGGGGGTGAGATCGAAGTGGAACGGAGAGCCCCCCTTCCGGGAAATCGGTTTCGGTTTCGTGTTCGTGCGTGCCGTGCGTGCGGGCGAGGCGAAGTTGCGTGGGCGGGCGAGAAGAAAGTCTCCTCCGGCTGAGGCTCGGCCGGACCAAATGATTCCTTTCCGGGGGCCGGGGTGTCCCGCCTTTGTCCCGCCTCCGGCTGAGGCGCTGCCGGACCAAATGATTCTTTTCCGGGGGCCGGTGGCCCGCGGTGTCCCGCTGGTGTCCCGCCGGTGTCCCGTCGGTGTCCCGATGATGATGATGATGATGATGATGATGATGATGATGATGATGATGATGATGATGATGATGATGATGATGATGATGATGATGATCGATGATGATGTTGTTGATGATGATGATGGTGATGGTGATGGTGGTGATGATGATGGTGTTGCGATGATGATGATGATGATGATGATGATGATGATGATGATGATGATGATGATGATGATGATGTTGACGATGATGATGATGATGATGATGATGATGGTGATGATGATGGCCATGGTGGTGATGAGGATGGTGTCCCGATGATGTTGATGTTGATGATTCTGATGTTGCTGATGATGATCATGATGG